TGTGTATTGCCCCCACTCACGTACAGTACCACTGGATTATTACTCCCCGTTACAACACGCCCCATCTCAATGTGCCCGATGCAGTGATTCACACCAACCAGTGGGACAGACCACAACAACGAGAGAGTTTTGGCAACCGTGCAACATACCGCGAGTGGCGCCCCCATGCCTGGTCCCTTAGTGTAGCAGATGACGCTGATATCAGAGGGACGCACCTGCGCGGTTTCAAAAGCGGCCTGCACCAGGCGCAGGATGTGCGTCGTGTGGTGCTGTGCCGTTTCCCGCGGCAAAAAGCCAGTCCCAGCAGGGGTGATGTACGTCTCGCGCTCGTTCGAGAGCACATTGCCCGCCTCATCCACAATTCCCACCCCTATTTTATTTGCACTTCCCTCAATGCCTAATGCGAGGATCCGCCTGGTGCCGGTTCTGATCATGCCTTCCTAATGCGTGCGGGTCTGGAGTGTGCGTGTCGCCTCCCACCTTTACGGGAGGAAAACAAAAAGTAGATATTATTCCGTCTGCTTCTCTCACTATAAACAAATCAATAAATCAAATAAATAAATAAAAGAGATACATAGAAACATGATTGTATGTGTACTCCTTTTTTTTTTTTTCTTCATTCACTGTTAAAGGTCACGGTGCCTTTTTGCAGAGCAGCAGCAGCCCGGGGGAAAAAAAAAGCGGAAAAAAACATGTCGTCTAGCGCGTTGAACCTACCATCGCATCGCCACGCCGTTCAACCACCTCTCCCCCAATAATGTACTGCTCTCTGTGTGCGTTTGTACTCTCCGTTCCTCATTTCTCGCCATCCATGCCGAGTTGCAATCGGCTGGCGTGCGAGATGAGACGCATCTTCACGGTGTGTCGCTTCTGGCGCTCGGCGTGGCCCTTTCGTCGTGACAGTTGCGTGGCTGCAGGGGAGTACAACGCGGTGGCCATTTGGTACGCGCCCACTGGACGCTCCGACACTGGCGCAAAGGCGGCGGAGTAACCGATGGAATCCGCGTACGGTTGTTTTTGCAGCTGACGAAAAATGAAGGAGAGTCGCCACATCCTTCGCTGTTGTTACTGTGATTGCCCACAAAAACCCCGGTCTTGGAACTCACAACGAGCATCAAAAACAAGAAATAAAGTGAATTCCCACAGTTGAGGCAGCCATGGCAATCCCTCCCCACAGACAGGCAGACGGCGAGCAAGGGGGTGGGGAAAGAAAAAGAAAAAGAATTTATCTTCTTACCCAGTTTTCGTTCACTAATATATCACCATAAACATGCATAGGAAGAACAGTGAAACCACGTAACACCCTCACCTGGCATTACCCTAAAAGTTGCATTGGATGCCCTGATTTGGCGGAGGTGGGAAACAAACAAGAAAAAAAACAACAAAAAACACGCCTCCTTGTCTCCGATGCTCTTTTCTATTCTTCAAATTCATTCTTGCTTTCTTACCCTCGTCCAATTGCATTGTGGCACTCAGCGTTAACTTTTGTCCTGTTTTTTTAATTTTCTTTCCTCACGGTTTCACAAATAAATCCGATGGCACGCACGCCGTACGGCAGCACGCGCCCCTACACCTCATGGCGTTACAACTGTGCCCCAGCAAGACGCGGCTTTTGCTGGCGCTGGTTGAATACCGTCAGCCCCGTGCCAACAGCAACAATCCCGTGAGGGAAACATTGCTGGCTCCTGGCTTCCCCCGACAATACGGGGCAATCGACCCTGACGCCACGCTGCGGTGGCCGGCATTGCCAGGGTCAACGTTAGTAGAGCTGTGTTTCAAATGGGGGCGGCTGCACCTCATGCTGTTTGCGTACAAATGAGATGGCGAGGCATGCCAACAAGAATGGTACCAGAAATATAATTTTAATGCTTTCAAGAAAGTGCATATTGAAGCTCAGTGCTACGCTGTCTTCATATCTCTGCCCATTCGGTAACAACATCACAACGAAGAGGGAGGCGTACATTCTCTCCAGCGGGGTACGCAGCGTGATGGCGTATGTCCCAGGAGCCCCGTACACCATGTGATGCACCAGAATACGTGGGCCAATGGTGATGGTGAGGCCGTACCGCCGCTTAATAGCATCGCCACGTCGCTGATCATAAATGGTTACAAGAAGGACAAATTGTTCTCCGCGTATGTCGCGAGGTACACGACTACTAGGGTGAATAAATACCCCAACGTACCCTTCGGATGCCGTGAGTCCATTTGTGGACTTCACACGGCTAATCCATGCCTTGAGAGGATGAAATGCAGCCTGTGTCTCAAACACCATGACGCTCCCACTCAGGGTGCTTACAACAAGGTCCAGCTTGCCATTGCCAGTCATATCGTCGGCGAGAACCATCGTGGATGATTTCTCATTAATATCAATACCGTCCACACAGCCGGTGGTGCCGCTCACAATGTACAGGACCCCATCGTGTGAAGGGACGATAATATGAAGACCCTCTGTTTCTTGCTGCGACAACGGTTGTGTATTGTTGAGGTTAACAAGCAGTGGTGGTGCAAGGATAGGACCCTCCGTTGCGATGGGAAAGTGCGGCAGCAGCGCACCGTCGCGTCCTCGCACCGCGTAGAGCAATCCGGAGGTGGTGCCAAATGCCAGGTCAATGCTTCCATCTCCGTCCACGTCACCGTAAGTAATTTGCTTAGTGACGGCGCCAGAAAAGGTTTTGCTCCACAGCTGCTTTCCATTTGCTGTAAAGCATGCGACGTTGCCTTCTGTGTCACCGGCACACACGTCGATGAGACCATCCGCATTCACATCTTCCATTGAGGGCGAGGACGTTATTGAACTGCTCATCCACACCGGCCAGCCACTCAGCTGTTTGCCGTGCCCGTTGAAGCCAAAAATCGCCCCGGCAGTCGTTGTCACATAAATATCCTGCTGATAGTCCTCATCGGGGTTCGCAATGACAGGCGACGAGAGTGCGTAGGCGGGAATGGTGTCGTTTTTCTTCGATAGGTGTAGGACCTTCATCCACTTCATCTCTCCCGTCACAAGGTTCAAAACCATCAGCACGTCCGCCACGTAGTCGTTGATGTCGATATCAGACGGAAGGAGCTCTGCCTTTTCGCCTTCGTACGCCTTCATGTCAAAAAAATAACTGAGGTGTAGAACAATGTCAAGATCCCCGTCACCGTCGGCATCCACAATTACCGGTGTGGACATAATGTGGGGATCTACCGCCACCTCGTCCTCGGCAACAACCACCGTTGTCGGGTTGCGGATGTTGCGGAAATTAAAGGCATCCTTCTCGCCTTCGTAGTTCACGCTGCTCTTGTACAGCTCCGGGTGGTACAACATCTCCATCGACGCCTTGGCCTCCGCACTTAACCAGCCTTCAGCGCCGATGCCGTGCTGCTTTTCCATACTTTCCAACAGGGCCCCTTCATCATTGACATCCTCTTCGTCTTCGTCGAAGAAGAGGTCCATTTCTCTCTCTTCTTCTTCTGCTCTGGGCATTGTACCAACGTCGTGCCTTTCGTCGCCTTGTTCATTGTTTTCTTCTTCTTCTTCTTCCAAATCGACATCCGCAAGGTGACGACGCGGCATTGCCGTGGGTGGCCTCGATTCCCCCAACGCGGCAGCGGCATCTCCGTGATTCCCGTCGCCAGTCTTCTGACGCATTTTGGGAAAACGCGGCGTCATGTCCACCATTTGTCGTGCACGCAAGATGCGATCAAAATATTCCGCTGACGGTCGCACAGGTTGGAGTTTAAGATTTACAGCCTCCTCTCCTGTGAGATTTCTTTTCATCCAGTTCTTCTTGATGGGCAGCGCTGGCACTTGTATCGCCCCACGTGCTTTTCCATCATCACCAAACACCATCAGCTCGCCGGTGTACATGGCAACAAGCCACTCCGTCTTGCCGTCTCCATCCATGTCAACAGGAATGGGACTGCAGTATGACTTGAAGTTGGGATGCACAAACGGGAAGCCAATTTCATCTTCACCGTTTACACCGTCAAGAGCCTCGAAATACTGTGTGTACGTCGGCACAAGAATCTCCTTGTTTCCGTCGTGATTCAAGTCGACGATGCGTGGTGTGGCAAACACACTGCTGCCCACCCGTGCCGTCCACTCCAAATACACACCGGAGCGGCACGTGTTGGATTCGTTGCTGAGTGGGCCAGAAGACACGGTTTCTGGAGCCATCACCTCCTCCGGCAGCAACTTACGGAGTAAAGGCTTTTTAAACAGCGGCTCCGCCCATTTTACAGGATCAGCGCCCACCGCCACGGCCATCATGAGTACAAAAACGATGGTGGCTTTGATCGCCATTCCTGCAGCAGCGCAGCCACGTGAAGCAAAAACTTTAGTTCCTAGATGTGACATGCAATGTTTCATTTCCCAATAAAAAAATTCTTTCCTTTTTCTGTTTATTCCTCTCTTTCGCACACAATCCAAGACAATTAAACAAGACAGAGAGCACAGTAAGAAAAAAAATAGTTAAGTATAATTGCGTGCGCCCAACCTTACACCAAAGCCATTTGAAGGTTTCTCCGGGCACCCTTCAATCAACGACGGGAAAAGGAAACAGGAATTGACAAATCTTGATGGGCAGAAGGAGCGGCGGAACAAACGAAGAAGGCTCCACCTCGCGGGGATAGCGGGGGAGGGGTGTGGGCAGACTCACCGACCCTCTCACAGAAACACGAAGAGACAGCAGGAGCATTCAACACGCGGTAACTCTTCTCCCACTCCTGGCCTCGCAAAACTTTCTTCATAAAGCCTCACACGCAAATTTGCTTCTCACTTTTTCATTTATGACCGTGAAGGAAAACTCACTGCCGCCAAACTATGAATGAGAAAATGAAAATGTGGTACAGAGAAAAAGAGGTTACCGCAAAAAACAAAAAACAAGAACAAAAGAGAATGTGTAATATGCTCGACAGCAAAAGCGTGGTTGACGTTTTTGTTGTTCTCAACAAATTACCCATTCCCACTTCCTCACGACTGCTTTTGCTGCTGCACCCCCAATTTTTATTCTTATGCAACCCGCAATTCATTTATTTTAAACTTTAATGGTACGCTGTAACCGCACACCAAAACCACAAACAAAATTAAAAGTCTTTTCTTTTCTCACGGTTTCACAAATAAATCCGATGGCACGCACGCCGTACGGCAGCACGCGCCCCTACACCTCATGGCGTTACAACTGTGCCCCAGCAAGACGCGGCTGTTGCTGGCGCTGGTTGAATACCGTCAGCCCCGTGCCAACAGCAACAATCCCGTGAGGGAAACATTGCTGGCTCCTGGCTTCACTGACAATACGGGGCAATCGACCCTGACGCCACGCTGCGGTGGCTGGCATTGCCAGGGTCAACGTTAGTAGAGCTGTGTTTCAAATGGGGGCGGCTGCACCTCATGCTGTTTTTATTCTTCCCGTTTCTCGTGAGTGTCATCTCTCCCACTAGATCTCCGCCTCGCCCGTCGTTGCTGTGGTGGTGTAGCTGTTACTCCTGTGCTTTGGTGTGAACCGGAACTTTTCGCCAGCCGGACCGAGCAGCATCTCACTGATGCGAACCCAATCGTTCACATTGTCGCTTGCCATTAGCGTCTCCAATTCGTCTCGGCCCTCGTAATGAGGCGGTCTCTCATTGATGCGCTGCGGTGGGCATTCAAGCAGCCCAAGAGGGACGTAACGACACAAGAATGAGAGCCACTCGCAGAGAAAACGACGTGTTGTAAGAACCCCGCGTTCGTCTGATCCCCAATGCGACAAGCCATAGTTACAGAAGCTTCGCAGCATTTCAAAACGCTCTTGACTGCTGATGTCTCTCGGCTGCTCTTGCTTTATTTCCTCAAAGATCCATGGCTTAATGAGCGCCCCCCGTCCAATCATGTATGAGCTGACATGCGGATAGCGTTCGCGGTGGTCAATGATATCCTCATAAGAGAAGATGTCACCATTGCCAATAACAGGCAAAGAGGTCCGTGCGGCACAGCTGTCAATGTATTCCCAGTTTGCTAGCTTTGTGTAGCGCTGCGCACGAAAACGACCATGAATGGTAACCGCGTCTGCACCCCATCCCTCATAATCGCCAATTTTCTCGTGCAGAGAAGCACTGCTGTTTGCGCCTGCTCCTATACGACATTTGATACTGACAGGTTTTGACTGGTGTTGCACCAGCGAGCTCACAATATCCCGCAGGCGGTTGTCTCTCCGTTCCCAAAGACCACAACCACAACCAGCAGACATGATCATCTGGACTGGACAGCCGCAGTTGATATCAATAAAATCATACGAATAACCCGAAGCTTCGATGGCCTTTGCCCACGTCTGGGCGCTCTGCGGCTGTGAAACGGCAATCTGCAAACCAAAAACGTCTTCCGACTCATGACGTCGCAGCAGCGACCACTCACCTTTTTGTAGGCGGTTGAGATTGTGCACAAGGGACATCGAGCTCACCGTGATATCTGCCCCATAGCTTTTACAGACGCGACGAAACGGGAGGTTCCCAACGGTGGTGAGGGGCGCCAGCACAAGTTTATTTTTAAATAGCGCTCGACGCCGGGCAGCATTTTCACGCACGTTTTCTTCGCTTTGTTTCGTTCTTGCAAGCTCACTGTTTCTCGTGGCATCCCTCTCATCCTCCTCGTTCTTCTGCAATACAATCTCATCGGCGTGGCCGTCAATGGAGTTGGCAGCAGCAGCGTCTTCTTCATTCAGTGGTGCCCCATCAACAGTCGCCTGCGGAGTGCTTATCTCCTTTTCCTGTCTCCCTCCATCGCGACTGCGCTTTGCCGCTGCGTTACCCTGCCGCACCACCGCCTTAATACGCTGCAGGGTTTCGCCGTAAAAGAAGTTTGACTCCCCCTCAAATTGTGGGCGCTGAGTCCCCTCCACGAAGCAGGAATGCTGCCGCTCCATCCCTTTATTCATTCCTCGAGTGCGTCCCTCCGCATCAAGCGTGACGCGTATCGGCGCAGGACGAAGATACTCCGCCTTCACGCGACACACTCCGGGCGGAGCAGAGCCGCCAGCGCTGAGCTCGCTCATACACGCCACCTTCACACGCACTTTTATTCTCCTTTAGTTTGTCTCCTTTATGTACAGCGGCCTCCTTTTCGTGTTATAGTTTTCTTCTTCGTCGAAGAAGAAAGAACTTCACTTCAAACACAATATATATATAAATCAGAGAAGCAACCAACAATTTTCTTCTTCCAACGTTCCAGGTGGAGCACAAAAATAAACAAATCGCCTGCGTACTAAAATTTAAAAGATCAAATAGAACAACAACAACAAAAATTCGCAACCTTTTTCCTGAGACGTGTGACGACTCCTCCAATTAAATGCTTCTCTGGAAAGCTCTCAAGAATGGCGTCTCCGCGAAGATGCCTAGCGGCCACGCAGATGAAAAAGGTGGAATCCCACTTGGAAAACGCCGATCCACCAAAATTAAAACAAAAACAAACACACACACAAAGAAAAACAAAACAATTCCCGTTTCTAATAAACTTGTGCCTCCTTTGTACAATTCACAGTCAGGGGGTATTAGAATGGGAATGTAGAAACGACAGAGAGCCCTTCTATAATGCAAGAGGACTATTCTGAAAACGACAGTAAAAAAAAAAAGCCGCTTATTATTTCTGTTGGCAAAGATTTGTTTCACATCCTTAAACATGGATGGGGGTTGAAGGCAGAATGAAAAAGAAAAAAAAAGAAAGAAAGCGGGAATCCAACGCATATATATTATATATACTGACACGCTAATCTGGGAGGTCAGGAAGGCATGCCATATTCTTGAAAAAATAAAAGGTCCCGTTTCCAAGGTAAAAAAAATATAACCAAACAAACATTCAAAATAAGAGATTTGACTCGCGGATGCATTGTTCTGAGGGCTATTCCCGTTACAACACTAATGTGTATCTGAAAGCAAAGCAATCAATTGCTCTTCTGTAAAAATGTTTCCCCTTTGCTCTTTCGCTGAAACACAGTCCGTCTTTTTTTTCCTTTCAGTTTTTAGAACTTGATGTGGACCTTTGGTATCGCTTAGGAAAGCCGGACCCTTATCCGGTTTCTCGGACATTTGTATTTATTGTGTCCTGGAATCAACCATATCACATAAAAAAAAAAAAAAAAAAAGAAAGCGGGCAAACATTATTTAGCTAGTAGTAATACAACGACAAGCAAGGGAGACTCATAGTCAATTAAATAAGAAAAACACGCTTAATATTCAAAAATAAAATAGACATGACCAATTATATTTTATTATGTTTTTATTTCTTTTCCCTCGCACGAATTCCATTCCCAAAATTGTTACTAAAGACAATATTCGTCTAGGCTGCTGGCCGGATTCTGAAACTTTCTATATAAATATAAAATGGGACGGGAAACAAAGGGTAATGAAGAGGCAGTGGGCTCGTCATATCCTTGATGTAAGCTTTAAGTACATATATCTGGATGACCCATATCGCGATATTTTGCATTTTGTTAGGGTTAGAAATATCTATTACTTAAACGGTGGTGGAATTTAGGATCCTCGAGTAAAAAAAGTCTGCTGCGAGGTGGGAATCAAAAAAGAGCAGACAAAAGAATATAAGAAAAATCAGTTTTACCGTTATCGGATTCTTGATTGTTTCCATCGCTGTATCCAAAAAAATTATAAAATAGAAAAACATTAAAAAAAAATACTACATTCTTTTTATCGGGACATATGTCAATTTAGGTATCCAGCCCACTAGCAAGCATTTTTTTCACAAACTCTTCAAAACAAAAAGAAACAAACAAACAAATCCATCCATTAAATGAATTTCCCCCCACAATTCAGTTGACGTCACATAAAATCATCTCAACATTTTTACATCAATACCAGTCATTTTTTTTCATCTTCATTACCCAATTCTACATCGTTTGCCAGCTCTGATAGGTCCATACCAATATTTGAAGGGCCAAATTTAAGAGGGATAATGTCGCAGAGTTTTACTAATTTTACACGCTCCTTGTCAAGGGTAACCAATACGACGAGAAAATCCTCGTAGTTGTTGGAGAGATCGGCAACTTCAACAAGCGACTGACGACAAAACCCACACGGTGGTGTGACTGTGTCAGGAGGAGGTAAATTCATAACATCCGGGACTTTACTACATCCATATACAGCAACTGCAGTTGCAGTACGCCGTCCCTCGGAATTGCCCTTCACAATGGCACAAACCTCAGCACAACAACCTTTCAAGGTGCAATTTTCATAGTTGCATCCTGCAGTAATTTTGAGATCCTTGTGAAGAAGAGCGGCCCCCACGGCAAATTTTGAGTATGGACAGTAAGCGTTGTGGTGAGCATTTATAGCGCAACGAGCTAGGCGCTGCAACTCCACCGGTATTTGGGCAAGAGGTGTTAGGGTGTTCAGCGTTAGTCCCACCGGTAACATTATGGTAGTTTCAAGTAATAAAGGCTTTCAGGTACAAATCCAAACTATAGAAAGAAAAAACAGACGCAATTAACAGTAATAAACAAAAGGAAAAAAAACAAAACAAAAAAACAAGACGTCTACAAATTCCGAAAGCATTTGAATATTTATTTATTTTGTCTTAAAAATAATAAAAGCAACATAAAACAAGAATAGCAAAGACACTTCGTATATTCTCGGCACTCATTCAATATTATTGTTAATATAAAGCACCATCTGAAGGCTTTAACCATAAACGTCTTGGCTTACACCAGCGCGCCCCACAGAAAAATATAAGTAATTCTTCTACTACTTTAGCCGAGACACACAAAAACGATAAGAGTTTCAGTTTCGTGGGCGTACAAATCACAGGCTACAGGGATGGATCAAAAGCTGTTTCTACATCCATTTCTCTGACAATTGTGTCCTCTTTTCCTCACAAAAGTTAAATACTCAACTCCTCTGGCATCGTGGGTGCTAAGTATTTTGTCAAGATCCAAGAAGTACAGCCCATTAAGTTCTCCAACAATTATGCCCTGATATATTTCTTCTAAGGTTTTGATGCCAAAAACATGGTCAGGTGAATTCGCGGCATTTTAGTAATTCCCTCCTTTCATCCTTTCTTCAATCCTAGAGGGAAGCAGACGGTCAGTTAGTGGCACCAGTGAAATACTAATTAAATTTAGCTCTGGAATTGGTGGAGATGGATTTTTATAAACAACACGATAAAAGCAGCCTCTACTACCAACATCCCCAGCAAACCGTTCCTCACTTTTTAAAGAACCAAAAAAAGCCACGCACAATTGTTCCTCTGCAGCTTCCAATAATTCTGAGTAAAAAAAAGAAATGCACCAGATTCATTCATAATTGGTACGTTTGGTATATATAGGAAAAGTAATTGGTAACAAAAAAACCATTGTGTCAATTTTACCCAATAACTTCAGTCCCCAACGGGAAAAATACTATAGGGTGACATGACCATAGAGATCCTGATGTTTTTATAAAAAAAAACTCCTTTTTCTTTTGTATCTTGCCGAAAATTTTAAAACTCCAAGTGGGATTCATACCAACAGCCCAAATCCGCTCAAACCCTCAATGCATCTTTCAAAACATTCCAACACCGTCTCAGCTGGAATGGCGGCAAAAACCCAATTAATAAACTACTTTTTTGTCACTTTCAAAACAACAATGGTGATAATACCAATCAATATAAGAACTGAAAATAAAATTATAATTCTGTCGGTCATCATGCGTCGAATAAACGCCGTAAGCTCTTTCTTTGCACGATTCACATCCGAGTCCAATTCATTCAAATTCTCGTTAACCCGTTGTATTTGTTCCGTCTGGCTACGAAGCTTCGCTGCAGCATCTATGCCGACTGTTTCTGTATCATTCAAAAGTCTTTCTGTCATTGCTAATGAACCCAATGTAGAGGTTTGAATAGTATTAACACGTCGTGCCACTGCTCGTGCTTCGTCTTTTCCGTCATTACTTGGTGAGTTTGAGGACAAAACAGAGTTTTCCCGGGCTGCGCTAAAAGGCGTTTCTTCTACTTTTTTCGACTGCAAATCCATTTTCAACTGGTTAATTCTAAGCAGATGTATTTGCCCCCGCTTTTCATAGACTTCTTGCTCATTACCCTCCAGCAGGCGCACTTCCACTTTAAATTGGTGGTGCGTTTTGTGCAATCGCTTCATAATATCTTGAGCTTTGTTATATTTCTCAAGCCTTTGATCAAGATTGGTGGCTGAATCCAGTGCTCGAAGAAGTGAGCTTATTTGTTCTTCAAGCCCCTTCAGCTCCTCATCATACATAGCAACATCCGACATGGTGGATCTAAATAAATATATGGATTCCTTATGAAAAGAAACACGTAAATAGTTCCACTCCAATAAAAGGATGAAAACAAAAGCGAGTGAGTAAAATAACAATAACAACAGCAACAAGAAACAGAAACAAAAACGGCGTGGGCAACACGTGCGTTTACAAAAATGAGGCGACACCCGCCCACCCGCCCTCATATATATACGCGCGCGCGTTCGCCTTTGCTCGTGCGTTCCCGAATGGTTTGGGAGCCCGCGCGCGCTGTGGGGGTGCGCGGCCCCGCGGTTCGCGGCGTTGTGTCCCGCCTCGGCGGGAGCGGCAGGGGCGGGTCGCTTCCTTCTCTCGCGGCGCGGGCGGCGTTCTCCGCGGTTTCCCTCTCCGGATTCATTTGGCTGTTGTCGTCCTTTTTTTCCTCCTCGCCCTCTCCGCAAGAAAGGGAAAAAACAGTAGCAGCGGCAAAGAATAGTAGGACATCGCCCCTGATTTCCGAGTGGGTTCTGCGACTCGCGCGGGTTTTCGCCAGCCTTTTCCTTTCTTTGGCGCCGTCTTCCCCGGGAGGGCCGCCAATGGGGTCTTGGCGTTCCGACGCGTGTGGTGCCAAGAGGCCCGCCGCGCTCAAATGTGAATGGCGCGCTTTCCGTTCCGCAGAGGTGCCTTCGCTTGGCCGGATCGGGGCGAGTTCACAACTTCATTCCGAGGCCTCAATCATCTCGGAACGGCGTTCGCCTCTCGTTGCGGGCCGGAAGGGTAGCTTGAAGCGCGCATTTTCCCGGGCAACTCAAACTGACGAGGATGATTTTGTGCTTTCCGAGGTTTTTAGCGTGGTCATGGCGACGGAATTGGGGTCTTCCACGGCCGATTGCTTGGATTGGGCGATTCGGATGAATAGAATGACGTTATCGCGAATTCAGAGGGCGGAAAGGCTGAGTGACTTTCCCTTATCGTCCGGTTGTGGTGGGCACGATGCTAATTGCGCCTTGCAATCTAGCGCAAATTTTCCATTAGAAACCATTTTGCGGATAGCACATTTTCAAAACAAAAAACATCAATTGTTATCCGTTTGCTTCCTTGGGCAGAAAGCCAATAGTCTTTTTTAGAGAAATTACAAAAGATTGAGAATACAAAAGGGATATGTATTTTTGTTTATTTTTCTTTTGGGATGATCCCTGGGCTGCGTATATTCCCATTTTCTTTATTGGACTCTCTGTTTGTGGTGCTTTCAGGGAATGTACCGTATATTTGGTTGTTGGAAGTATTTTGGCAGTGGGAGGAAACAAGGACAACGAAAAAAGGAAACGAGAGAGAGGAAAAAAAGAAGACTGGACGTCTGAGTCTGTGGATGACGAAATCATTGAAATCTAAATGAAATATCCTGCTTGAAAGGATGATTATTTCTAATTGCTAATTTTTCCGATCATCTTTGCAGTTATAGCACGCCGAAGTTGGGGAAGTCGGTAGTTGTGCCTTTTGACCATTTTATGGATGGCGAAATTGGAATTTACTTAATTTTGCAACATATTGCACATGGTCTTTCGGGGGAATAAATGCATATATGAAGAACGGCTATTTTTCACATTTCTCTCCACTTTTTAGTTTGTTTTTTTTCTTTGTACAAGATGGTCATGTCTCTTGTTTTTGTTTTCTTGTATTTTTGAAATGGCGACGGCAAAGGCGAGTGAAATAGAAAAGAGTTTTTTTCTGTGAAAGTAATTATAACTTTTTATTCATGTAAAACAAAAATATGTATTTTGTTCAAATGATGTCTCAAACACATTGGGGGGTTTCCTGCGCAAAAGCTAATTTAATAAGGTGTAGTAGACGGATTTATACTTTTATTACTTCAAGGAAAAATATCAGTATGGCTTTATGAGAGTTCAATTTATAATAATAATAATAATAATAATAATAATAATAATAATAATAATAATAATAATAATAATAATAATAATTCTTTTTTTTTTTTGGACTTTACATATATATATATATATATATATATATATATTAGAAATTTGTTTTTTTTTTTTTTTGGCTATATTTGAGTTTTTTTCCTTTTTTTATTCCCGATTTTCTGGTGCTTTTTTAGTCATTATATATATATATTATTATTATTATTTAAAGTGCACACAGGAAAAAATGTCTCTGGAAATTAATCGCCAGTTTTTGATGGGTGATGGCTCGAAAGTAACTGAACCAGTGATACCTTATATTTCTATAGATACAACGAAAATTCTAGAGGCACACAAAAAACCTTATTTAACCAAAGCAGAGCATTTGAAATTTACTGGTGAGATTAGTTGTTTATGCACAGTGGGTTCCACCATATGGGTGGGTGAAGTGTCAGGGAAGGTAAGTGTAGTGGAAGTAGATACCGGAAAGTTTCTTAATATCGTATTAGATCACAGAGGTGCGGCTGTAATCGTGATGCGTACAGCCCGAGGTTATGTTTGGGCCGGGTTTGCGGACGGCTATTTGCGTGTTTTTAATTCATTAACCATAGAACTGTTATTTGAAAAAAAATTTCATAAGGATTGTATCACCGACATTGCCTTATCTCAAAATTGTGACACGGCGTATTCCTCTTCGCTAGACTCGTATGTGTGTTATTGGAACACATCTTTTTTTGCAATTGAAAGCCCTCGAGTGTTGGGTGATTGCAGAGGTGCTGTGCGTTCATTGGTTCTTTTTCATGATCTTTTGTTTTCTGGTGGTGATGATTCAAAAATCATTGAGTGGAATACAGTTTCAAAGGAACGGAAGCATGTTTTGGCTGCCCATTCTACACCTATTCTTGTCTTAACCATTTGCAATAATTTTTTGTGGAGCGGGTCGGAAGATGGGGTTGTGTGCATATGGAGTTTATCCGACTTGGATGGTGGATCACCAGAGTGCATTCATATGATCACAAATCCTCATGAAGGCCCTATAACAATTTTGAAGACTGTGGGATTAAAGGTTTGGTCTGTATCAATGGGTCAGGTTTACATTTGGAATTCTTCTTCTTTTGAATTAGAGGTGCATTGTCGATTAAGCAAAGAGCACCATGCCTTTTTAAATGTAATGGAGACTGTATCGCAGGCGTTTTGTAGCAAGACATGGATTGCTTATAAAAACACTGGAGATATTACTATTGTTCAATCTGATGACCTTTTACCTTTGCCGCTGCAAAATCTGTGTTTTTGGGGCGATGTGAAAGATACTAAAGATAAGGATCAGTTTATTGACCAGCTTCTCGAGTCTCAAAAATCATTAACTTCTGAACTTTTAGTCTTACGTGCGAAACTTGCAACATTAACGCCTCAACAATGTCAAAAAGAGGCTACTGACAGGTTTGAGCTGGCGAAAAGTGACGGAACAGAAAAAGCAACTTTGTTAAATGCCGTTCCGAAATCTTTTTTTTTTGATTCTAATGAAATTATGGATAATATGACCAATTTGACCTCGTTGAGGTCAAATAAAGACGATCATGGTTTATCCAATATTCCTTTTTCTATTGAAGGAACAAATTATTCAAATTTCGCATCTCATATGCCTCGATACGCTATGGTTGATACTCATGCGTTGCTTGAAAGGCTGATTTACTTCCGTGAACAGGTCGGGGAAATTATTGGCTCAAGTGAATTTTCGTATGAAAATAACTGTTTGTATTTAACTGATGAAAAGGGCCGACCACCCATTCCGATTGGCTTTATTACCCTTTCTGAGCTTACGGAGAAGGAGCGTATTACATTAATGAATATATGTGGAGGATCACGTCCGCCGTTTTTGATTCCGGCCCTAACTCCCACTAATCAGGCGGAAATTTGTCAATTTATTAGGGGTATTACGTCTAGATTGCGTGGATATCGCTCTATACCGTCTTTGGCTTCATCGGAAAAACGAATATTAATAAATGATTCTAGTAACAGTGTCCATGCACTGGGCAAACCAACAAAGTGTCTTTCTTTTTTTGAGTCAGAGCCGGATGGCGTTGGTTTTCCGCCACTATCATTTTATCTAAATAAAATTATTTGTGAAGTAATGGTGGGGGCACGGCGAATTTCTCAAAACTACAACTCGCGATTGTCAAATAAAAGGGTGGACTCTATGGGAAAGGCGTTTCAGGGCTTGAAACAAAGAAGAGATGCAGGGCAGAAGCAATCATCACTATCATATGGGATAAAGGAAACCGAAAGCAATGAAGGTTTAGCTTTTTTTTCTCCCGATGTGGATGTCTTGTCTTTAAAAGAGCACTTTTTGCCATTGAATGATGGACCGCAGTCTAAGGGGAGCGATGATGATAGAAGAAACGCGACTTTAATGCAGCGAATAACTTTTCTAAAACGCCAATTGGTAGGGTGCGTTACCTCACATTCATCCAAACAGGTTAAGACCTGTGCTAGGAATCTTCCACCCTTAACCTACACCGATGAATTTTCTGATATGGAAAGCGAAATGGAAGAGCTTAGTGCGATTTCTTTTGGCCTTATAAGACGATTGTGTCGGCTTGTGGAGAAATTAGAGACCGAGATGCAAGAACAGAAGGTATTGAAGAGCATTTTTGGAGCTGTTGATGATAGTTGTAGGAAGAACCACACAGATGACACCCGTCAACAGTTTCCAGGTCTACTCTCCTTATTCAACAGGATGCAAGAGAGCAACCTTGTTGCTCACGAATTTGTTATTCAGCATCTCTTGGAAGTGGGTGGAAAAATTGCACTCCAATACGGGTGCCTTATGGAAACAATGTTGCAGCGTCAAAATCCCTCTGCGTATTCCTCAATTTCCTGGGGATATGAATCAGGGCGAAGCAATGTCCAATCTTCTTCCTTATTGGACTCCTTGAATGAGTATAGTATACTCGTTGAAAAGGTTCACGCGGTGGAGGCAGTGTTTTTTGCGGACCGGACATAAATTGACGTGAAGTAAAGGGCCCATGAATACATGCGCAAAGGAGGCAGCAAAAATAAGAAAAAAGTAAAATGAGTAACGTATTTGTAGTTAGAATGGTTCCCAATTTATTTATTTTTATTTTTTTTTTAAATTTTTTCTGCTGTTTTGGCGCTTATATTTCTTTCCAATTTTGTTTTTTTTTGCGAATAACAACAACAACGACAAAAACAACAATAACCGAAAATATATTCTTTCCTTTTTAGTTTCTTTTTCCTTGGTTTTTTTTGAGCATTTTTAGCCGCATAATTATATTTGTGCAGCCGGGTTTTTGTTTTCCGAAGGATTTATTTATACGTGCTGACATACAATATAAATATATATTATATGAGCAGAGGGATGGCACAAGCAGTTTACGCCACGCTTCTTCTAATTTGTCTTCTTGCTGCACATTCTGCAGCGGGCATATTTATCGTGGACTCCCGCCCAAGCGGCGATTACTGCGGAGGTTACATGAGCCTTGTGAATGGACGCATCACTGTCCATCCGACTACCAGTGAATTTGATATTTCGTTGGATGTCTTTGGCGAGAAATATCTCTGCAAGGAAGAGAAATACTCGTACAACGAGACAACCGGCCAGATGTTTCTGGATGGCGTGAATGACCCCGATGACTGCCTTGGCACTATTTTGAGAGACAACGGGCTGAAACTCAGTGTGACTTACCTCCAGGGTGAAGACGCAATTTTACTGGACTTTGATGTTGTCACTGTCAAACTCTCACGGTGCTCGTGAGCGCCACGCAGCGTGACGAGACCACCGTGGTTAAAAGGGAAGGTGAACCATGAGTTATTGTGGGACACGTAGGGGAACAACCCCAGCGAGAAGAGAAAAATGTCTGAGTGTCAGGAACCAAAGCATGAATAGCAAAATGCGGGCAGTGAAAGATCAGTGGGATTCAGTTGTACTCTGTTTTACAGGGTTTTGGTACGTCAAGAAGGCAGAAGAAACGAAGGAATTTGAGATAATAATTGAGAGGAAAAAGAAAGAAAAAGAAAGAAGATAAAAAATAAAATAATCCAAAAAGAGAAGTAAAAAAGCAAAACAAAACAAAACAAAAACAAAAAACAAATGCTCCTGATATTTTAGCAACGCTTTTTCCTTTTTCCTTTCATTCATTTGTGCCCTGGTTGCTTCTTTTTCCCCCTTTTTTTGTGAAGGCCTACTGCATTATGGAACGACGCATTATGGAATGAAGTTTGAACTGCAATATATCTCTACAGTATTTGGATTTTTTTTTCTTTTGTAGTCGTTTTTATTCCGTTTTTTTTTTTTTTACTGCTTGTGAGTAACCGCGAAGAAGAGAGAAATTGAGAGGGATGCAGAAAGAGGCAAAGCCAATTTCATTATATTGCTGTGGCTTTTTCCTTCGCCCAAAGACACACATGCACAAATACACAGTTTCTTTTTTTTTTCTCCTGTTTTAAATGCCTGTTGTTTGATTACTTTTGGCGAACTGCATTTCTTTTTCTTTCTGTCTTTTGCCCCTCCATGGCACTCGGAAAGAAGAACTGCAAAAGAACGAATAGAGGGTTCGGTATCCGTGAGTAGGGCAGTAGAGATTTGTTTTGGATGTCTGCTGCGGTTCCCCTGGCTGCGAGGATTGCCAAGAACCGCCAGCTTAAGTTGCTTGCCGCTCAAAGTCGTCATTTGGCCGCTCGTTTTAGTGATATCTTTGGTGATGCTTCTGTTCGAACGACCCGTCTTAATGACCGACATTTCGAAAGTACTGTTTTTTATTCTTTTAGTGGTTTATGCACTCTTCGTTTGGCTTCAGAGATCGCGGAGAGTTTATCGGAGGCAGTGGAGCGTGTACGTGGGGCTGCACTGGCTTTGTTTTATTCCAAAGCAGACCTACGTCACATGTTGCAGGCAGTGGACTCGGATGTGTTTGCAGAGCTCAACGCAACACTTGATAGCATGGACGCCAAGGCGGTCATTCATCTGGCGCGTTCAAAAAAAGAAATGTTGGACGCTACGGCGTCGCAGTTTATGGTGACAGTGACCGCCCAACTTCCGCTGAAAGATGAGGAGATCACTGAGGTTGGTGAGAGCGGGGGCAAGGAATACAACATCATGACCGATATTGCCATTTGCCGTAGTACTGGACAGTGCCCGCGAGATGCGATCAAAAGGGGGTTTGCATTGTCACTGGCCGAGCTTGACGAGTATGCTGTGGAGGAGCAGCGAAGTAGGGGAGAGGAGGCATGGTGCTACTTACAAAGTGTCCAACGCGACGAACTGCAGCGTGACTGGGAGTCGGTGGCTCTGTCAGTATTTCTTTCACGTTCGTTAGGTGATGGGAATTTAGATACAATAGAATGGCTTCCGCCTCGTGAAGAGACGGACACAGTGCGAGTCGCGTGTTTTCCAAGGAAGGAATCACGGTCGCTTACGCTCACCATCCGGGATGCTTCGGGTAACGAGACCCTTTTGACGTTACCACTTCATTCTCCGCCGCTGGCGTTTCAACGTGTTCTGGTAGGAGATGATGATGGCTCTGCGCGAATAGTTCACACATCAGCGCTTGCGTGGCCGGAGAAATGGATTGCAAGTTCAGCCCTCATGCAGCTTTGTACCATCTTGAACGCAGGCGTCCGTGCCCCGGAAACAATTTCATGCGGCACGGCTGGTGTCGCATTGACCTCACAGGAGATATCTTTTCTGTCCGTCCGGTCCTTTGCAGAGGCACACGGCACTCTACCTGTCACTGCCGTGCCCTACTCTATCGAACGGTGCCTATTCATGGTGAACAATCGTGTGGCCTTGTGCTTTGCAAAAAAATGTGGACGAGAGTATTTTGGTGGGAGCAGCATGCCACTTATTTGCCTGGGTGTTGTCTCCAATGAAGCGAAAAAGTTGGGGCAGGGGATCCACCTGCAGCTGGAGGTGAAGCCATCGGAGGGTGGGGCGGAATGTCAGAAATACCGAAATTTTGTAACCACTCTTTTGCGTAGGGCGAAAAAGGAGGCACTGCGAGGGAGGCATGAAACGAAGCTGCAGAAAGTTACAGCCATTACAGCCGGTTTACTGGGGCATTTATGGAATCTTTTTTTCGTCATTGCTGGGCTGGCAGAGAAGGAGGGTATGAATCCCCTGCGGGATATTTCTGTGTGGTCCCCAACTGAAATTCTTTTTAGTGGCAATCAGCAGAAAAAGCAGCAAGAGTTGTCGAGCCTTCTTTGCCAACTCTTTGCCGTGGACGCGCAGGTTGTGAAGAAGCCATCATGGGGAGGGAGCTTCCCCAACATATTGCATCTCTCATCGTCATCGCTTGGGGTTCAAGCGCTGCCGGTGTGTCACACCCTTGAGACCCCGGAGATGACCCTCAAACGCTTATTGGACGATGCCTCGCCAAGCATGGCGGAGGTGGTTGAAATTGCGAGCAAGACCGACCCACGGAGGACGGTGGAGGTCGCGGCACAGCAACGGGAGATTGAGCAGTCTTCCTACTACTGTCCCGATATTCTTCTTATGATTCAAGAGATGCGGCTGGAGCTTCACATGCCCCAGCGGTCGTTTCCAACTCTGGAGTTTTTTCAGAAGGCCGTACACGACGTTCCGCAGCGGGTTCAGGAAATTGCGATGGGCACTTATGGTGATGTGCCCGTCTACACCCGTGTTGTGGCGCACTGGGGACCCAACCTGCGTGTGGAGGTGGAAAGTGACATGATGGGGCTAACGGACAATTATGGTGTCTACCGTTTTGACTCGCCACATCATAATCACTGCGGGCCTTTAGGGCTTCTTTTGTCAGTTGTCTATACCATGTACGAGCGTGTCTTTCCCCATCGCAGGACGGTCCCACTCATTGGTCTCAACTCCCCCAACAGACGTCGTTCAATTGACTTTTTGCTCTATTCGTGGTTTATGGCTTCCCCACAGATCCGATGTTTTGAGATTAGTACCCGTGCCGCACGATTGGCGGCAGCTACAACTGCCATGGCAAAAAAAAGCTCAGATGTTGCGGAGATGACGTTGTCGCATTCAGTTGGAAACTACATCATACGCGCAATGCTTTTCTACGATTTTTGTGGCCAGCGTGTGCTATTTGCTGAGACTCATGCACCCACTCTCTGGGAGGCTGTGAGGCGTGTTAACGAGCTGGCGGTGTCACTCAACATTCCGAAACAAGACTTTTTCCCGACACGAGCAACAACACGGCGTGATTCTCGCAGTTTTTATACCCCACCTGACGGCTGCGATTCGGAAGTTGCATTTGTGTTAAGGGCGTTGATGAGTGCGACTCGTTCCCAACTCCGTGTGTTTTTTGTGCGCACAAACGACTCTACAGCATTGTGGATAGAGGGAATGATTGAGTTGCAGGTTCCAATTCGGCAGATTCGCTGTGCTGTCTCCGTGACAAGAACAAGGGGTGTAGTCCCGGCACTTGTGTTAGCTTGCCGCGAGGCGTTACGGTGCGCCAGTGATGAGGAAGAAGCTGTGAGATTGCTGCGGTCTGCTCATGACGCTGGTCCCCTCATTCCGCGCGACAACTTTCCACGCTTTTCTTCTCGCTTTTACACCCCTGTCAACCTCTTGGGTGAGGTGTTGCAAGGTGTGGCCGGTAAGTACCACTGCACGTACACGATTGACTCAAAAACGCGTGAGGTGGTTTGCCTGCTGCACGTGCCCGCAATGGCGGGGTATGGCAATGCCGCGCGTGACAGTGTGCCCTTTCCACTTGGTATAGGCCGGGGTCGAAGCAAAAAGGTTGCATGGGCCGCAGCAGCTTCACAGGCTTTGCAGGCAAACTTTCCAGATGTCTTACCGCAGGTGGAGCGGCACAAGAAGCTTTGCGAACTTTTACACCGTCCCGATTATTTATTGCTGTTGGACTGCCCTGAGGGGTTCAAAATTGAAGTGGTGCCGGACAGGGAAAAGGAGAGTGGAGGTGGATATAAGTGCACTGTTATTTCTCGTCAACCATCAAATGTGAGTGACGTGAATACTACGGCAGAGGT